AAAAAACCTCTACCACTCGAGCCGAACAAAATCTGCTCGAGAGAGCACGCGGAGACGACCGTGGTCTATACCCGTGACGTCACGACAAAGATTATCAGCTCAAACGGACATGTTTGATGGTCTCTGAAAAGCAAGGTGAAGGCTTGGGGCAATTGCATTTTATAATCGACACCGTCAAAGTTGACAGTCTGGTATTGTTCTTATTTCCGACGATGAAGCGGAATTTACTAAAAACGGATCTGCCGTTCCTTTCCTTTCTCTCTGTCTTTTGACCAATGTGTACCCCGACGTGGCTAGGTCAGGACAAGCTTAGTAGCGTTTTCCGCCTTGGGGTGGATTTCAGCTCCGGGAAGTTGTCCCCGCATCGGCGGGATAAAATAAATTTACTAAGATTTAAAAAAAAAAAAAAAGAATCTATTGGTCGCGTAAAGCGTCGGTGTGGTCCGCTTTGCAAGATTAGCCAAACTGGTATTAGTTTTGTTTTCATCAACTGAAGTGTTGACGAGGATGTTTAAAGAACACGATGACTCCAAGCTTCGATTGTATAAAAAAGAAACTTGCACCTTCGATTCGAACACGCATCATAGGATTTCTTGTTCCTAACTGATTTTCGTGATCCTAACGTCAAGGGTAGCAACTATAAAAGGATGTCACTGGATGTGCCAGCAGTCTGCGAGCCCTGGCACGAGCCTCTTGCTTGGAAGTCTGTCAAGGCTGCTTGTGAGTTCATTATACGCTAATTGCGAACCGTTTTAATTTCAGAAACTCTAGAACCATTATTAAAAAAAAAAAATTGCCCATCCTCGATCAGTTGGAACGCCTCTAAGCAGGGTCGTCAAAACAGCGGAACGCGAGGGGGACGATTCTCCCCCTCCCCCCACCTCCCCAGTGGCGTAAAAAGAAAGTGGAAGGACCATGAAAGGCTAACGGACGACGGCGATCGCCGCCTTCAGCCCCCCCCCCCTTCCCCGCCCCCCCCACTTTCTCTTTCCTAAATATCTTGTACGGGACTTTTTGACCCCTAATTTGTTCTTTATATGTGTCATGTATCCGCAAGTTTCCAAGTGGACGCACATGGATGGCGGGTACCATCACTAGACGCCTGGGCCCTCGGTCGTGGATGATCAACACCGATCAGGGACAGACACGGCGACATATGGAACATATACGACCTAGAAGTTCCACGCTACCGCGCAGAACGACTACTACACCTTCACCTGTGTGGGACTTGGCCATGGAGCCTTGCGAGGTGTCAATCACCCCTCAAGGCCCGGCTACTGCTCCTACACAACCTACAGGACCCTCAACTTCCACCCAGCCGATCATACGCACCAGCACTCGCGTGCGACGGCCGCCAGAAAGGTTCGGGTTCTCAGCCAAGTGAGGGGGAAGTGTCATGTATCCGCTGGTGGCCAAGAGATGGCGTCACCGGGCACACGCGCTTATCCCGCGCTTTTCAAGAGCACGGACCTGGGGCACGGGACGGGTGCTCGGGCATTGCAATTCCAGGCGCCATTAAAAGCACATCTGGACGCTCCTCGGTGTCGTGGCTTGAGCTTCGCCCGGGATACATTACAATATGTGTGTTGGTCGCACCCATTTTTATTTCTTTTTCACCGTTTTCTTTTTTATTTTTTTCTGGTCATCCCCGGTCTCCCTCTCATATCTCAAACCCTACCTACATCATCGCCCACGCCGCCCCTCAGTGACACCGGTATCGTTGTTGACTCTGGGGGAAGACGTGCTCTAAGGCCACGCACACCGTGCACGGGTCTACAATATCACAACATTCGAACTTTGCCTCGACTCCAATGCGAAGTTTTTGGCCCTAAATAACTCTATGCAAAAATACTCCAAAAGCCGGGAGACGTCATAATTAAAATAAGAACGCCGACTTGACATAACAGAAAAAACAACTTCATTAGACGTTTCGCCCCCCGTGCGGGAGGCATCATCAGTAGTTACACAGCAAATGCAGGGTTCAACCTAAACTCAACGCTATTTATCACGAATGTCCGTGTACGCTTCGTGGAGAGGGCCCCGGTTTTCGTTGCACACGGATGTGTCCCTGCGAAGAAACCACGATTCTAGAAGCTTTCGGGGCCCCCATCTGTCCTCTCTCGCCAAGGTCGTCGCGGCCGGAAAGTCGAAAGAATGCCCCATTGTCCACGCATGGTCCACCAGTTCAGTCTTCAGTCGCGTCGCGTGGGATGCGTACGTGACGTCACGCTTGTGTTCTTTGAGTCTGGTATCTCTCCTCCGTCCGGTTTCACCAATGTAGGACGCTGGGCAGTCACTGCAGGGGATCTTGTAGATAACGCCTCTTTGGACGTTCGCCGGGGTTGGGTCCTTTGGTTTGGAAACGGAATTTCCAATAGTTCTGTATGGCTTGAAAATAACTCTTTCCCAAAGTTGTGAAAAGTAACTTTTTAGTCACCGATAATTTTCACAAAAGTTCAGATGCACAGCCCGCCAGGGTCAATCTAGAAAAGCATTGACTGTATCGTGGAGGAAGGATGCAGGGACATTCGGGCGTGACATCATCGATGCGGTCGTTCAATTAATTGGCTGGCCCCACGGTATTGCTCGCGCGCGCTCCGATGAAGCTCGCTACAAATGTGTGGGTGTATGGGTGTGCCCGAACACACACACAAACACACACACACACACACAAACACTCGTGAGTTCGCACCCCCCGCGTCGCTACGCCCAACCGAAAGGGCACCTGACAACCCCCCCCCCCCCCTTCTAGCTATGAATTGGCTGCCGTGGCTCGTAGCGTCGTTTGCGATCCATCCTGAGGTGAAACAAAGTATACAAGCGCACGCCTCCACGCCTACGATAATTCGTGCTGCACATAGACGTGAAATATACTTACTTGTTTTATTATTAGTGAGGTGCTCCTTGTCGTCGCTGCCGTTTGTTTATTGAAAACTGAGCCGCTGACGCCGCCGTCGCGAATATTTATTTATTTCGCGCCGCCACCCGCAAGATGGCACGGATCGTATTTCACTAGGCCAAGCCGTTTCCAAGGCATCGGTAACCGCCGCATAATATTACGGTTACGTTCCGCGTCGGCTTTAATATCAAATGCTTGAATTTGTTTGCAATATTATTGCAATTCAGTTAAACATGACGGTGTCGCTCCGGTTCTGGTTCGGTTGGACACCCTGGTTAAAACCTGCATGCTAATCACGCATGTTTACAACACCCTCTTTGTTGCGTCTCGCGGCGCCAGGAAAGGCAGCTTGTCCATCTACAACTGTTCAGTTTTCGTTCCTTCGGTGCGAGTGCGCCATTTTCATCGTCGAAGGAGCATACTCCAGTAAGACAATCAAGGCATCTGTCACCTCCAATGTAATGATGTTGTTTCAAAATCCATTTACCATGCAATAACGAATCGCGCCATCAGCCCGTAAGCCCCACATGAAAATCGACACAGCCCGCATAAGAAGCGAGCCTACTCAATTCCCACGTCATTCCGGGCAAAAGGCATCTAGCTCCATTCCCCCAGTGCTGCGGTCGTTCCGTTCCCATTCCATTCCGGGGTCGCGAAAGCGTAGAATGATTCCGTAACCATTCCAATTCCTGAGTGGCAACACTGCAAAACTTAATAAAACTCACCGCTCCGCGAATTTTGTCTAGATGCAAATATGGTAACAATCTATGAGTGCTACTTCAAGCCGTTTTCATTGCTGTCGCCCGTAGCACCCAAGCTCAACATTATAGACTTGAAAACTGTACAGTTTCTTTTGAACATGAAGGTCAAGACGGATCTATTCAACTTGAATCATATTCCCAGGCCCTCTATTTTGAACGTTTAATCATATGTCTTCACTCAGTGAGGAAGGGTTAATGCCTGGTTTACTATATACTTTAATGTTTATTTTTTTTATTGATGTACTTTCTCTTAAGTATCGAATTTGTTTTAGTTGATCATTCGACAAACGGCGCCTGATGAGATCGGAATCAAAGCATACTAGAAGATCCCACGAGATTTCGGCACCATTCGGAAAAAAATGTCAAAATGCATCTTAATAATAACAAAAAAAAATTGAAGTTTTGGGTTATGAATGATGGATTTAGAGAAGAGCCCCTAAACCACAATTTCCGAACTCCAATTTACCCTCTCCTTTTGGGATGCGTCCAAACTACACACGCGATAAGTATCTCAACGAAACCTTGAAAATGTTCTTATTGCATCGGATAATGTGTATATAATTTTTAGTTTCGCAAAGTGCGCTGTTCGTTCCTTCGTTTTGATGCAATGACGCTAGATCTTTGCTTATCAAAATATCGAGTTTATATTCCAGTACTGAATTAAAAAGAAACGAGCAAATGATTGAAATTATTAATGAATGAATATATAAAGGATTGTATGAATGAATGAATGAATGAATGAAGGAAAGAATTAATAAAAAAACATGAAGTTTTCATGGTGCGAACAAACTGCTTGGAGGGTTCAAATGTACAAAAGGCAAAACAAAGTCGCCTGAAAGGTACACATGACCTGCATAAAGCGCAATAGCAATAACAACAAAGGTTATATACACAGTAAGAAACCATTTTAGTTTATTGAGAAACACACTTGGTGGTTTTTTGGTCGAGCAGCTGTACATACTATTTTTGTATCATAGAAATTTATTGTTTTGATTTTTTTGCTGTTCATGGCAGTTTTCCGTCCAACCAATTGCAACATGCCATAAAAGTTTAATGCCCAGAGAACGCGTGGACACCATTTTTAGAAAAATGTCGTTTTTATGTAGATACTTGCGGCATATTGAGTGTAGTGTGCTAGCACAGGGAAACTGGGTTCATGTGCTTGAATATTTTGAAGTCGGTGTCGCGACTAGACTATTTTAGACAAGTCTAAAATAAAATTTGCTTTGTAATTTCAGGTTTATTCACCAAGGCGGCCGACGATGTTTTGTAATCAATTGGCGAATGGGAAAACTCCGATATTTCGGACTCAGGAAATGAAGACGACGTGAACAACGTGAATGATGCGTACGATTCCGACTCTGAGGAGTATGCTGGTTCATCTACTGACAGTGATGACAACGACTCCAGCGACGCATGCATTGCGCAAAGGCGCGTTTTGTAACAGGGGACAGGTTTTGCACCAGCAAATGACGTGCCTGTTCTGGAAACACTGTGTGTATTTTCGGAGAATAGATTGGAGTTCTCGCCTGTCGACTTCTGCAAGTGGTATGTAGATGATAACATACTAAAAAAATAGCTGAGAAAACAAACCGGAGAGTTCTGTGCGAGCGTGCAACCATAGCTAAAGTCACTGGCCAGAAATTCAAACAGGGTTTGGGTTGTTCAATGCTAATTGGGGTGATTGCATATTCTTGAATATGACTTTTTTGGAAGAAGAGCTTGGCTGTTAGTTCAGTATCTTGCACAATATCACGAAATCTCTTCTTCTTATTGCGATCTAACCTTTGCTGCCAACTTGACAATGACGTGAGTGATGACGATAAGAAAAGGGAGAGACTTTGAAAGCTTGTGCTTTTTGTCGAGATCGCACGAAGTAGCTGCTTGGGCCTGGAAAGGCTCAACTCCTTTTGTTTAGATGAGTGAATTATCCCATTTTAAGGGCGCCGCCCTATGAAGCACTACACTGCTAACAAACCGAGCCCTCTGTGCCTGAAGAACTTTGTACTCGCAGGAAAGGACGGCTTGATTTATCACTTTATAATTTACAAAGGCAAAGAGGCGGTTCGAGACGTTTAGAGTTACCGTATCAGACAACTCGTTCGTGAAGCTTCTTGAGTCAGTGCCTGCGGGTTACACGCTTTACATTGACCGTTGTTTTTTTCCGGTCCCTTTGATGGACGAGCTCACGAAGAGGGAAATTTTTGGCACCCGCATCTTGATGAAGAACAGAATGCCAAAAGGGGTCCATTTCACAAATGACAAGGATCTGTTGAAGAAATCACGGGACACTTCGGAAGAGCTGCTGCGACAAGACCGCACGCTTTTGTGTACAAAATTGGTCGACAAAAAGCCAATAGTGATGCTGTCGGCTGCCTTTGGATTGGAGCATAAAGATGGCTGTAAAAGGTGGTGCAAAGAAAGATAAAAAAAGTTTCTGCATGTTCCGCGCCAATTCGTCATAAAGAAGTACAATTAAAATATGAATGGTGTGGACTTAGCTGACCGAATGCTGTCCCCGTATGCTCAAAGGAGACGCACAAACAATTGGACAGTGCGCTCAATGCTTCACATGTCTGATCTTGCTTGCGTCAACAGCTGGCTTCAGTACAGAGCAGAGAAGAAGACAGAAGGATTTAGAAAAAGAAAAAAAAACATCTTGACTACATTGATTTTAAGATATCAGTGGCTGAGGCATTAATATTGCAGAAGATGATACCACCTTCTCAAAGCAACTAAGATGAAACGAACATCGCGGCAAGGAAGAGGCGTCCTCAAGAAGACGAAGACAACATAAACAACGCGCCCAGAAAAAGGCGAAAAGCTTTACCATCGGAACATTTTCGAAAAACAAGACGCACCTCATTGGCCAATAAAGGACCACCCTCAAAGTGGAGTAAGGTGCCGAAACACTGGCTGCATCAAGAAGACACGCAAACGCTGCCCTCAGTGCGACGTGTACCTTTGCATAGAAGTCGGCAGAAACTGTTTAGATGAATCCCATTCGTGAGTGGAGTCGCAAAACAATAAAGCTAGCGAGTTAAGTTCCTAGTGTGAGGTGTGAAGAATATACAAAACTTGCTTACGCTGTGTTTTGTATTCTTCAAGAAGAATATAAACGAATACATCTATTTAATTCGTTTCTTTCTGAAAAGCGCAGCCCCCAGTCAGTCATTTACGGACGCTTTCCGAGTACACAGTGATTTACGAAATTTCTAATTATGCCTAAGGATGGTCCCAGTGTCCCTGCAGGGGGACAAGCAATAAAATGTAGTAAGTCACTGCGCACATTAAAATATTTTTTTTTTTTGGGGGGAGGTTTCATAGAACACAAAATTAAATATAGAACTTAATCAAAGTTATTTTATTGTGGCATTATTTTCGGGTCTGACCAGAATATATACTAGGCTTGCCCGTACGAAAATCTCAGAAAGGGCCTTATATATTTTCTATATGGCTATATATGATAATATTAGGAGTCAAATATGGCCATACACCGCCATATTTGGGAGCAATTGTGGCCGGATACGCCATATAAGTGGGCAAATACTGCCATGTATCGCCATATGCGCATGCAAATACCGCCATATCTCGCTGTAGATAAGTTTAAATATTGCGTATATAGCCCGTTCACTAGATATATGGGTAGAAATATATCCACTGATAATGATATTAGGGCCGTTTCGGTCGTGCAAGCAAAACATATGTACTCGCGAAGACTCTAGTAGATTCATCTATATTTAGGATTCCGTGTTTTCGGAGTTATTTCTCGTGAAATTCGGAGGGCGTTATTTGGAGTTTATTTTTGGCTGGGGATTCGGGGTTTATTGTAGTTTATTTTTCTTAGATAGCCAATTCTTTAAAAATGTGAGTTTTTTTT